AGGCATTGATGTTTGAAATCACCTGCCCTCGACCCTGCGACTGATCGGTACCTGCAATTGTTAGCGACACATGTATGAAAAGTTGACAGGCACCCACCCTCCCGCAGCACCACAATCGTGGGTGTCTGGCCGCCAAAAGACATGTTGACGGAAGCGAAAAACACAAAAACTCAAAGGGGAGTTGTAGAATGCTTTGCAAGGGGAACAAAGCTGGCGGTAGAATGTGAGGGGTACGGTCAAGCTATGCGCACCTGTATCTTGTTCCCCGCAGACGCGTCCCATGAATTTTCCCAGGGCACGTCTCTTTTTGCCAAGACAACCGGACCGTGCGTGGCCTGGCTTCCACTGCCTACCTCCAGCCTTCTACTGCCCTTCCATGCATTGTACCACAATTACGCCGTCACCTGTCTCCAAGGCCCCCGCTACCGTGTTGCATCGTCGTTACAGTGTACGCACTCTTGCTGCCCTGATCCATAGTGACATTATCAACGGCCCCTCGTGACCTCGTGACCGCTATTTCGATTGATGCGTGCGATCTGAACTGCCTTTGTCTCCCCTGCTCCTGGGAGCATTGTTTGTGAGCATCAGTAGTACCAATATGCCATCCAAGATATCTGCAAAAAAGGTCTGGTCGTGTTGTAGATGCACTTCTTAGTCGTACTAACGCCGTGTACAGATGGCACCTACACCGACATCCACAGACGACATCCGCCTACGGCGCATGGCACGTCCTTCAAAAGAGTCTGTAGAAAAGCAATTATCCATACCAGAGACCATTTCGCCTTTGGACAACTACCCCCCATTGCTCCGCATTCCATCCGAAATCCGAAGAGAGATTTTCAGATATGTCTTGCCATCGTCAAACAAACGTTTCATCTTATACACTGATTGCGACTCGAGGTCCATCAGCCGAAAATGGAATAAGATCTGCCGTCCCCATCCCGACCCACACCTGACTCTCGACATCTTACGAACAAACCGACTCATTTACCACGAATGCCTCTCAGTACTCTATTCCGAGAACCAATTCCATTTTTATGCATTCAACTATCTGCCTGTTTTGGACTTTATACGCCATCTGAGTCCCGAGGCAAAGAACCAGGTGCGCAACGTGCGACTTACACCTTTGACGGATAAGCAAGACGACCCACCGGCATCACACGACGTCTTCTGTACTGTCATACACGATTCATTACCAGGGCTCAGCCAACTTCAAGCCGACCCGGTGATTTTCTTCTAGAAGATTGGCTACTGTTCGTTCTTCAGGCCATACTTCTTCTCTTCTTCTATCCGAGTATATAGACGGGCAGATGCGCATCAGTGTTGGATACACATGTAGCGCATCTATGAACTTGCCCACGAATTCATCTTTACATGGCGATCATCTTCGCCTCCGCAATGTGTGTGTCATTTACCACATCTCATGCCCAACGGCCTCGAACTTTCCGATGCTCATTCGCTGCATACCAGGAAACATGGCTTATGATTTGTAGTGGTGCAGTTATGAGGGTATTGTGACATAACAGCTAGCGATATTTTACATTAGTCATCGCTTTCATCATGATGTTTGGCAGACAACTCGGTTCGTTAAATACCTATACTAGCGGGCGAATAGTGAAGTGCTTGCGCCACTATCAACCCTATCCTTCGATCCGCACTTATCGTCAACCAGCCTCAGGATTTATGTGACGATCCGATTAAGGTGCCAAGTTCTGGTATACTGCAGCTGCGCATACTGCATGCGTCTCAATCTGGATATCCTTTGTTATTGATCCAGAACCATCGGTGTTCCACACCGCTTCGGAGTACTCGAGCTGCATGTCTTATTCCGACACCGGTCCCAGACCATGAGCACACAGTGGCTTTCCATGCTGACATATCGGCCACATCAACATCACCCCGCTTCTTGAATACGGGAACAAATTACTCTTTTGGTGCTAAGCTCAACTAGTCCACTGGCCAACTTGCAGGTACCATTATTGCTAGTTCCGACGAAGCTTATTGGAGAAACCTACTCAATGGAACAAACCTGGGGAGATTTGTAATTTGTTGCTTGATAGTATTTAGAGACTTCTTTCTCTTGACGCAAGCTGTTTGTATCACAACTTCGAACACACTAGACTAACACGCCTCAATATGGCCACAACATCTGAAACGGCTTCTGTTGCTGCAGTCGCGACTGTGGATAACTCGTCTGAGATAGAGCTCGAGCCAAGCTCACAATGGAATGAAATGTCAGGAAACGAGCACCTACTGCCGCAAGCTGATGGTGGTAAAGACGCTTGGTTGTTCTTGGCAGCGGCTTTTGCAATCGAAATTATGGTCTGGGGTAAGTTCTTTTGAAGATAAGGATACCACTGTCTTTCTTGCACTGGTAGTCATAGCTTGATATGGCATCCTAGTAACACCGTCTAGGTTTTCCTTGGTCATACGGCATCTTTCAAGGATACTATAGCACATCTGAAAACTTCTCTGGTGCTTCCGGTATCCCGGCTGTTGGCACTTCCGCAATGGGTATCCTTTACATGTCTTTGCCCTTCACTTTTGGATCCTTGATACGGTGGCCACAACACAAGAGAACAATAATGATTTGTGGATTATTTCTCATGTGTATCGCACTCGGATTAAGCTCACTGTGCACCACCGTACCGCAACTCATTGTCACTCAAGGCATTCTTTACGGCATCGGCGGAGCAGTAGCATACAGTCCCACCATTACCTTTCTCGATGAATGGTTCGTAAGGAGGAAAGGTCTGGCATTCGGTATAATGTGGTCCGGTACAGGACTGGGGGGTGTGGTTGTTCCTCTGCTGTTACAATGGCTCCTAAATCGATACGGTTTTCGGATCGCGCTACGCGTATGGGCGATTGCGCTCTTTACAATTACCTTTCCCTTGACATACTTCCTCAAACCGCGTCTCCCTGTTCCCGCAAACAGCCAGGCAAAGATCACTCTTACGTTCTTGTCAAGCAAGTCCTTCTGGATCCTTCAGTCGGGCAACGTCATGCAATCTCTCGGCTTCTTCATACCTTCCATCTACCTACCGACTTACACCAAGGCCCTGGGATTCGACAATACCATGTCTACAGTACCTGTTATTCTTATCAATGTCGCTGCCGTTATCGGTTCAATCACTATGGGAACAATTGTAGATCGCACGCATGTCACAACCGCCATTCTGATCTCCACTATCGGTGCTGTCATGTCTGTCTTCCTGATTTGGGGGTTCAGCACTTCCTTGCCACCTTTACTCGTCTTTTGCTTCATGTATGGACTGTTTGCGGGAAGTTTCACCAATACTTGGCCAGGAATCATGAGGACAGTGCAGCAAAATACTGGACAAATGGAAAGTTCCATGGTATTTTCATTCCTGTCGCTTGGGCGAGGTATCGGGAATATGGTCAGCGGCCCGGTCAGTGAGGCGTTGATGAAAGTAGGCAACATTGGTGGGTTTGGCTTGTATGGGACGCCGTATGGAAGTCTGGTCATTTGGACTGGGGTCAGTGCTACCCTCGGTGCAGTGAGCATAATTGGTCGAAGGATTGGATGGTTGTGAATAGCATCCATTGTGTTCGAATAACCGACTTGATGTGGCGGGAGCGAATTGAACTTTTGGAGACATGGGTATTACATTGATGATGTTTTGACTTTGTGTTTTTTCGTGAGTATTACTATTCATAAGCTGATGCATAGTCTGTTAGCAAAACTAACTATCGAAGGTATCATATCTAAGCTTTGAACAATATTTGATTTTGCGACCTTTTGGAACATGTGATGAAAGCTCAAGGTTGAGAAGAGGAGCAAAGTGACGGTTAAGGAAGCGGGTTGTCAGTACCGTGAACGTAGACAAAGGTTGGGCGGGCAGCCGAAGAGGACTGGTGGCGCAACACACACGAATATACGAACACATACAGTGCATAAAGCTTTGTCTATGAGCCTGGGCGGAGCAACAACACTCCCTGTCAAAAATCGCACTATGGTTATACATGAATTCTAGTTTATCGGAGAGACAGCTTTACAACGTCTGTTTGGCTGTTTACTCGCCACGACAGGCATGATTCAATGTTACATGAGATATCGGTCGTGTATGAAGGGGCTGTGTGAAGAAGGTAGACTTCTACGCGTGTGGGGCTCAGTTGCGGGTCCTTCACGTACCAGAGGACGTGACTGGTCTTCCGTATGATCTTGGAAAACGCGCGTGGAAGGATGAAAAGGCTGGTCTACATGTAGTCACCGCAAAACAAGCTTTCTCGTCATGGCCAACGGAACGTCACTACCAAGGATCGTGATCACTCCGGGGTCAGATTTTAGGAACCCTGGATTGACTTTCTTCGATGCATGGATATGGATAAGGAAGGAATGATATATTAAGTCTTTCCAGTAACAGAGTCATTGGTGGCTGAGAGTCAAAGTAACGGCCTCGTCAGAGTTCCTATTTTCTGACTGGTAGTACTTGACGAAGATGGTCCGTTCACCATGACACGAGATGGAAAAGCAACTCTAAAATGCTCGGGGAGGTGGCCACGAATGTTCTGGACTGCGACCAAATTGCCTGGCACGATCATTCACGTTGCATAAAAGCACTCTACCAAACGAACATACTCTCGGGACTGGTTGGCTCCGGTTACTATACAATTTCCTGTTGATCGAGGCACGCAATGATCAGACGTACGGAAGTGGCTTGTATAGTACTTACCTATGCTGACAATCAGTTATAGCTCAACATATGTCAGCTACGCAGGTAAATCTCCATATCAGCAGGTACCGCCAAATGTAAGCTTATGTGAGGCTAACGAAAGCACAATACTTTGTCGTACAAACGCCGAGCATTAACGAATGCTTATCTCACTTGTTATGGGAGGGCATTTGAAGCAGGATATATGAAAAGAGCAGTCCTTCGTCCTCCAAGAAAGTCATTATAATGCAACATCTCCAAGCATCTAATCATCGATGTCCGACTAAGTTCAATACTTTCGTTCCCCCAACCCAACTTATCAACATGAAGTTCGCGGCTGTCACTTTCTTTGCCGGCCTTGCCTCTGCCCAGCAAGTTATCACCCTCTCCAATGCTCTTTACAGCGTGGTCAACGACCAAGCATCGTACCAGATCAGTATCGACCAACCCACCGTGATCAACTGCACTGCCACGGCATGAGCTGTCGGCGACTGGTTCCCCTGCTCCGACTTGTTCTGGGCTCTCCAGATCAATGACGAGCAGGGCACTTCTATCAGTATCTACCGCACCGTGAACGAGTAAGATATTCCCCTCAGCCCAACTTTCACAGCTTGATTTGTATACTGACTCTCATCTTTTTCTTAGTAAATCGTATTACGCCGATAATGAGATTCCGTTCACTGGCGCCATTCCTGTTTACCAAATCCAGGATGGCAACGTTACTGTTACTCTCGAGCCACTCGAATAAGGGAAATCTTTTCTTTGGCAAAGAAAATTCAGATAGAGATGTAGGTTCTGTACATACTATAATACATTGATAGAGCACAATCAAGCGACCGTGAAATAAGTGGTGTGTATAGAATAACACGAATGATGGTGAACTCTGCCTAGAAATCCTAACGGTTGCGTATGTGTAGTGAAGTTGGCCTATATTCTAACTACAACATGGTGTAGACTGTCTCTTTCATGAGACTATTTACCGGAATGAAAGAACTATTTACCGTAACCAAGGCACATGCATTATGCTGCTAGTGTTGAATTTGGAAGAGAGTTTATTATAAGATATTGAGTCTCCGTCATCTGACCGTAATACGCACTGCGCAGAATGGCATAAAAGAATGCACTAGCATTCTACGACAAACCTTGGAAACTGAAACTAGCAGGCACGTCAGAGAAGTGAAAAAGTACACTAAGACCTTCTAAAACAAGAAGGATCAACGTCATTGGAATTCGATTCCTTGAAAATAGTCATAAACATGATGGGTGGACAATTTAGCCAATCATTCCATTCTAATTATCCACCATTTAGTACAGTGACTTGATATCGTGAGAACTAGAAACCTCTCCGTGGCCGTTTGATTTTCACTTGGCAAATTGAGTTGAACCTTACTGGTATTGCATGCTGGATGGGTAAGTTGCTATAGATGTGATGTTTCCTGGCTAGAGAGGGGCCGTCGTGGAAAGTCTTTCAAAGTTTCTTACATGCATGTCCGTTCGTGCCTGAGATTACCGAGAAATACGTCGATATGGAATTGATGGTAGCGAGAATCTGCAAAGAAAAGTGGATGGATAGCGAGAGTTACGGAGCTTTGCAGCAAACCATATGGGGGCTCCAAGCATGAGGTCTTCCCCATTCTCATTCATATATCCCTTTCAAGACTTTCGTTTTCGGGGCCCTTCTCTTCTCGGCCCCTGGTTGGTGCTTGGTTTTTGCACACGATCACTTTCGCCAGACGTAGTTTTCCGACTTGCTTTGGCTGCGGTGCTACTACCTGGGCGACGGCCAGTAGCGAGTGTTTGGACTACAGCATCTATCCGTTTGGACCTTCCCATGTGCGTCCCTGTTTCTACCCTTAACAGAGTTGGGAACTGCTCGCTCTTGTTCATGCTCTCCCAAACTGTTTTAGCGGCTGGCACCTTTGCGAGCGCGATCTTGAAATCATCAGGTACCACAATTGTGGCAGGGCCTGCATATGCGCGGTCCCATCTCCCGTCGGCCTTTGCAGCATCGACTGCAGCCAACCCTGCAGGTCGCATACGGCCTTCTTCGATGAGGCGCGCTACCGTGCCTACATTCTTCTTGGACCAGATACTCTTTGCACGACGAGGTGTATAGCGAATCTTCCACCAAGTATCATCGATGGAGTTTGCACGGCCATCAATCCAGCCATAGCATAGTGCAACCTCGACGGCTTCAGCTGCCGTAATAGAGGGTATACCAGAGCTCTTTTTGGCAAATTTTACGAAAATGCCTGGAGCAGTGATATGCTCGCGGTCGAGAAATAGTTCGAAGTCAGCGGGTGTAGCGAAGGCCTGTGTAGGAAATTCAGGGTCTTGGGAGTGAGCGGTCATGGCTGTGAAAGGGTGCGCGTAGATATGGAGATGCACCAAGGGAGCACATGCAAGCCGTCGCTGTTTAGAGGTCAAAGTTATTGGAAGAATCGCAATGTTCACTCTTTTTGATAATAGAAACATGCACAAATTTGTTTTAGAAATTTAATGATTATGAGTGTGGAGGTATTCGTTGTTTCAAAGGAGGCCAAGGTTGCGGTGGAAGAGCGTGTCGGGCGCCCTAAGTATCACGTGAACATGTGAACATCATTCTACGACGACCCCCGATAGATAGCTACGGTTTGGAGAGACAGATCACTGTCTCAGTTTCCATTGAATCTAAAAACTCAGTCCCACGATAAAAAAACATGCAAATCTGCTCCTTTTATAATTTTGATAATTAGGTCGGATGTGGCCAGCATCGTGTAGCTTATGCGAGTATCTTTCTTGAAGCAAGGCTGAGCTTCCTAAATACTTTGTTCCAAGTATACGAGGCAACACACGCTGTCACTAGTTTTTGTTTTGAAAGCCGTCATGACTTGCAAAACAGGGTTGGAAAAGTTGCTCATCTTTCGTGTAGATTGCTCACTCTTGCCGAAGACACGATATTCACTCTTGAGCACTTGGGCACACAAAGGCGAGGAATGGGGTTCAACCCACAAAAGCAAGGAGAGACATGCGTGTCGTGAAGCTGCTATTCTCGTCCATTGTAAGTCGGATCGAGGTACGCGCATGACCAAGGATAGATTTAGCTCTATTTCGAGGAGCAAGTACCCAAACGCCGGTCGCTATGCAAGTGGTCTGTTTGAGATGTCCCAGGAGGTTGACCATATCAGACAACGAAGTCTTTTTCATCCTTCCTTGGCCCCAAACCTCTCTTTACACCATCTTTCAATACGTCCCAGTTCACACCATCCAATCTCCGTCCACGAGTAGCTACATCAGAAGCGACATCTGCTAGCTTGCCTGTGGCGATTTTACGCATCATCACTAAATCTTGGGCGTTCGGAAATGTCCGCCCCCTGCCCTCGGTGAGAAATTTCTCAATGAACTCCTCTTCATCCTCACTAAAAGGCAGGCTGACTAGCTCGTAGGCCTTGGCATCTCGTGTGTACACATCATGTTCTGAACGATCTGCCCACGCATTGTGGTCCAACGTCTCCTCAATAAGGATCTCGAGAAGTGGCTTCTGCTCGAATTCTGGTCTGTTGTGGATCCAATCGTACATATCGGTGACATTACGACCAGCAAGATACTTTGCAAACTCGACTCGTGTCTTTTCGTCTTCTAACGGTGGCTTGACACAGTTGTAATATGCAAGTGCCAGTACGTCGTCTTTGGGGCCACCTCCCATACCCAGACTGCTCAACTTATCTCCCCCAGTTAACAGAGTGTGCATAATCTCGTCTGGGAATGTTGGTATTATGCTCGGATGCGTCAAGTGCCCAACCGCGGTTGAGAACTGGAGGTGATCAAGAAACCACAGCCCTTCAACAAATGTCCAGAACCGCTTCTCGAGATGCACATCCTTAGCGAATGCTTCCGAAAGTTCTGTTGTGTCGTGATGTTGCGGCGACAGATCTTTCAGCAGATAGAAGACGAGGCAATGTTTGTTGTGTAGTGTTGTCTCAGCGGAGATGATGCGTTGGTGGAGATCCTGGAGTTGTTGCGGGGATTTGGGCGGGTACAGCTTGCTTCCTATATTACCTGGTTAGCATTTACTCAGCGCAAGTTCGTGTCAAGCTTTACCTTTGATCTGGAGGAGGACTAGCAACCGCTCGAAATATGTGCGCCCCCCAAGGGCAGTTCGATATGACTGAATCTCTTGCACGAGACCCTCATTGTAGTTGAGGCCACGATAAACGGCGTCGAAATCTTCAATGTCAAGCATTTCTGCGATGGGGCTACAGTCCGGGCAGGTTTGCTTTGCGCCGGGGTTGGTGGTGGACGTGTTGTCGTCGGCGCACCCAAGATTCAGGGCACGCGTTGTCACGTGAATGTTGCCTTGGCGTCCAGAGCACGAATACCAGTAAGTCAATGCACACCGCCGTATCTCCAGACATCATCTATTCTGACCATAGAATCATTCCATCCCTTGACACACAAAACAATTGTAGTACGATGTGATACGCAACTTCCAAATCGATATACGCAATGAACGTCGAAGATAGACCGCGACATCGCCAGCGACTGCGTATCGCATGTGATTCGTGTCGAGAGCGCAAAAGAAAATGTGATGGAGGACGACCTTGCAATATGTGCCTCGGTTATGGATACGAATGCTCCTATCGTTCAACACCGCGCAGCCGGCAATCTCAAAGACACTCAGTCCGGGCCCAGAGCATAGTGGTACAGGAAGCAAGCCCAACACCTGCTGCAGGGACGTCATCACTACACTTAGATGGTCACCAACCAGTCCAACCGGCCCAGCAACTTCAGCAGCAAGTCTCAGAGGATCATGACCAGCAAGAATTAGGCAATGACCACCAGCACTCACCCGCATACCTACGATCCATCGAGAGCAACTCTGGAGCGGCTTTTGCACGCCTGCTTACGATGACACTCGAATCATCTGATCAGAGTGCTTCTCCATTGCGAATGCTCGCATGGAACTTGTTTCTGGGAGAAAGACAAGCAGCGATGCCGGTACAGCAAGAGACTCTTACAGACATTCTATCAGAACCAGAGATGCGACATTTAGCTAGCATCTACTTTGAAAAGTTCCATCCATGTTATAGCTTTGTTGATAAGGACATGCTGCTCCAGAGTATATCCAAAAATTGGAGCCAGCAAAAAACACATAATGCGCTGGAAGCCCTTTTGAGTGGTGTCGGTGCCCTCGCACTCCTGTTTTCGAATGCTCAAGACGTAGAAACTGAATCGAGACTCGCTTCACTTGCTAAACGTCTGCTGGACCCACCATGTGCTGATACTCCATCACTATATAGTGCTACTGCATGGGTGCTTCGCACTGCATATCTACGGATAACAGCAAAGCCAGAGGAGGCATGGTTAGCAAGCTGTAGCGCTCTCCACATTATTGATGCTGCAGGACTGATGAACCGTACCAGCCGGAGTAGTGCCTTCATCACATCTCAAGGCCCAGTCAGTCTTCATCTTCGGAAAAGGGTGATTGGTGTAGCACAACACCTGAACATATGGATGTCATATGACCTAGGTCGGAGTCGTGTGTCTCTGCCTAATTTTGACAATACCCCACCGACTCCGCAAGCTGGAGAATTTACGGCGGAATTGCTGGATCTCCTACCATACTCACAGGACCTGGACCCGACTAACGAACTAAGTGTGGACCGGCTTGTTAAAGCATTGGTGAACGTCTTGGAGCGAACACATACCGAACCACCATCTGTACTAGCACAGTGCAACTTGATGCTGTGCATCCATCGTAGGCTTCATGCCTCGAAGCTCGAGATATCCGAGAGCCTCATGACCAAGGTTCTCAGTTTGATTCAGAAAAGTATCCAAGCCGTTCGAGCCCACATTACAGCACATCTTCCCTGGCACCACGTAGCTAATATCCCGTTCCAGGCAGTGTGCACACTCCTCGTTATCGATACTGCACAGTCTTTTTCACTTTTGTCTGAGGCTCTGGCTTGTGTCATCGCCGTGAATGAAGCGTACCCAACTGAAGCGACGCGAGAAGCTGCTGTTGCTGCATGTTCCTTGCTCCGGCTGCACCGAAGCCGAAGGGAAGCAGAGATCAAGAAGCATTCTGACATGCTTGGCCTATACCCTTCTGTAGATTTTGTCTTGCAGGAGAAACATGGTGATCCTCTAAGCAGCGAATCTCTGCAAGAATTTTCTTGGTTCAATGAGTTTTTAGTTAATTCGGATCTAGTGTCAGGTCTTGATCCGTTCATTTAAGTAATATTGCGATCGTGAACTCGAAAAGTACAGTTCAGAGATTCTGCATCACATTTTTGAGTCATAATGCACCGATTGGATTTTAGTTTCTGTTTCAACAGCAAGTATTATGCTCATTCAATCTGCTGTGAAAATAGTCGTTGCGCGATTCCCGCTGATTATCCTTCATATCCGCAATATCCGCTTTGCCTTAGGACCCACAAGCGTGAAATCCAACATGTAGGGGAACATGTGCAGGGTTGTCACGGTAATATTTCTGCAAGCTTATCATACAAAGTCTTCTATCAAAAACCTCTAGCTCCATTATGAAATTTGCAATGTTTCCTGAATGTACACGTCCCGTTGGTGTCTGCTCCACGTGTCGTCCCATCTGCAATTAACACTTGGTTGAGAATTTTGCAAGTATCACGTATCAATCCATCGCCAAATAGACTAGATTTAATCTCCTTGAAACTGAAGAGAAGCTTTTTGATCAACGAAAAAAGGGCGGCGGGACAAGAGACACAAAGTGCGGGTATTGCGGGCAATGCGGAATTAACAGTGATGATAAAAACGTACTTTTTATCTTCACTCTTACCTGAACATCATTTCAGATACAGAATTTAAGATATCAAAGGGATTTCAAAATCTTTTTGTCTGGTGTGCTATCCCACTCTAAACAAAAAAAACAATAGCTTTGCTTCTCGATCGAGGACGGCCATCACTCAGCAGAGATGCATCAACATCACAGCACCACATTCTGCAACCCCGGCGAGGCACACAACGCCCACAAGGAGGAAAAGCCTCAAGAAGAGCAAGTTGTTTCGGGTGGTGCACAAAATCCAGATTATGCAGTCACATTCAACTCGCCATACGATGACCAAAACCCACAAGACTGGGCGTCATGTAAAAAGTTACGTATCCGCACCCAACCAACCTTTAGTCAGAAGATCAAAGTACAAGAAAACAGAAAAAAAAACTAGCCGAAACATTCCAGCTAACAGGATGGCCCGACTTAACAGACTCGTCATCTCTACAACCGCATGCACGGGAACCTTGGTCGCGAGTTTTAACAGCGCAATCTACGCCGCAGCTGCCGCAGTCAGCAGCACCGAGTTTAAAGTGGGAAGCAGAGTCACAGCACTAGGAACCAGCCTCTTTGTACTAGGCTTCGCATCGGGCCCCGTCATCTGGGCTCCAGGGTCTGAGATGCTTGGGCGTCGTTGGCCACTTGTAGTCGGCGTGTTCGGATCCTGCATGTTTACGCTTGGAAGCGGCATGGCGGAGAATGTGCAGACGCTCATTGTGTGCCGGTTCTTTGCGGGCTTGTTTGGCGCAAGCCCTCTGTGCATTGTTCCTGCTGTACTGGCGGATTTGTACAACAGCACGTACCGCGGTATAGCGATATCGCTCTATACGCTGACGGTGTTTGGGGGTCCGTTTCTTGCACCCATCGTTGGTGATTTCATCGTTGCAAGTCACTTGGGGTGGCGTTGGACACTATACCTTCCTGCGATTTTAGGGCTTGCAAATTCCTTGGTTCTATTGCTATTGTTCCGAGAGACGTTTGCCCCATTAGTACTGGTGCAGAAGGCGCAGCTGTTGCGACAGCAGACTGGTGACTGGAACATTTATGCTGAACAAGAGAAATTGAAACTAGATTTCCACGCCGTGGTGAAAAAATACCTTACTCGGCCGCTTCGCATGCTAGCGACGGAGCCTATCATCCTCTTGGTATCCGCGTATATGTCGTTCATATATGGATTGGTTTATGCACTTCTAGGGGCATATCCATATGTCTTTCAACATGTCTATGGCATGGCGACTGGAGTACGGGCTTTGCCATTTCTCGGATTACTCTTGGGTGTGGTTTTAGCTCTCATCTTTATCCTTGGTCAACATAGGTCGTATTGTCGCAAGCTGGAGGCAAACAATGGAAAGACAATACCAGAGTGGCGGCTTGGACCTGCTATCCCGGGAGCTGTTGTGTTCACCATGGGTCTATTCTGGTATGTCTCGTGCATAACCGTTGATAGGAAAAAAAAAAGGCTGATCGTTCTGCTCCAGGTTTGCTTGGACAGGCTTCACCAATGATGTGCATTGGATGGCGCCAACTGCAGCCGGGGTCTTTATCGGGTTTGGAGTGGTCTGCATCTTTTTGCCTTGCTTCAATTATCTTGTGGATGCTTTTCTGCCTCTGTAAGTGATGTTTAGTTCTCGAGCGCACCCTTGCCAATCACGTTGACTGACATGACAATTCAAACCAGAGCAGCTTCCGCAGTTGCAGCCAACATTATGCTCCGTTCAGCTGTTGCAGCTGGTTTTCCTTTGTTCTCTACTCAGATGTTTGAAAACCTCGGGATCCAGTGGGCAGGGATGCTTCTCGCCTGTCTCGCCACGATCATGATACCAATTCCGATGGTTTTCCGAGCATATGGGTCGACCTTGAGAGCAAAGAGTAAGATCCTGGTGGAAGCTGCTAGTGAGGTGATGGTATGAAATCAAAAGGCTAGTAAAGGAAGAGTAGACCCGACGAGCGGATGATATTTTAGTCGCGACGTAAAGGGGACGGGTGCACTAAGAGGCTTTATGTGATGTGGGAGATGCAAGAGCTCGAAAGCGAAGAAGATGCATACAACAATAAAATACGACGTTGAATCAATGCGTGGGAAGATTGAGAAGAGCTGCACAGAAATAAGAGTTGCATGTCGACAATGTCCAGCAGCATCTTTGGCTCAAGAAGGTTGCAAAGCTAGTCGCGATCGATCGAATGGGCACAAATAGTTGGCACTGCATGGTGTTGCAGCATTTTGAATCCGCTATCCGATTTTCGTCCGTTAGTCATGAGCAGCCCAGACTCAAAAACAAAACAAATATTTGCTCACCGTCTATGCGGAGTATTTGGAGGCCAGACCCCAGCGCATAGCGGTCAGATGTGCATGACGTAATGGCATGGATTGATGTGAGCCCCGCATGTGTCATCTGCTGGGAGAGGCGTATAATCCTCACAGATGTTTCCTGCAAAAATGAAGCGCTTTCATAAAACTCGCAAGGCAGATGGCATGACATGGACGAGGAGGGGGAGCGCGATACTACGGAAGCTTGGCAAAGGAACTCGGATATCCGTAATTGCCGGACCCGAAAGACGAGGGTACTACAGGCCAAACTATGTATGTAGTACATCCATGTGCGAAGAGAGGTCGAAGACGGGGCATCGGCTGCCGTGGAGTCTGGAGGTCAGACAATGTCCGGATTGTTGACAAAGTAGGCAAAGTCGATATGCGGGTATTTGAGGTGGAGTCTGGCACCACCTCACTTCACATATTGCACACACACACACACACACACACATGTTGCATCGAGCGATCGGTAGCCGTCTGCACTACAAGCACTAACCAACAGGGCGAGCACTAGGCAGCAAAACGCATGCCCATTCGTTCTGCTGTGATGAGTCAAGGCCAAGCTGCAGGGCTGAGTGGCTGGGTGGATGGATGGATGGATGGATGGATGGATGGATGGATGGGGTGGCTGCTCACGCTTGGTGTCTGATGTTAGTAATATGCCTATGCCGACCAAAGACCGTCAACAGCGCGGACAAGATCGCCAAAAGCCAGAACCCTAGCTCATACACCTACCACCAGAATAGGGCTGGGTTGTGTACATAGACCATGGACTACAGCTGGTAGAAACCGATGACATTTACATCTGGGTACAAGTCGGCCAAGTCACGTCACGGTGAGCTTCAGCGTCCGTCAGGGCGGAAGCGGGCGGATGGCGACAATTCGACGAACATGGAAGCCAGCGCGTATGTACAATGCCTGTCGCCTGACCGCGCCTTGCCAAGTGCGAGCAAAGCTTATGAGGAATAGAGGTGTGGCACACGTGATGCTGATCCATGCCAGCGCCAATGGCTTCTTGAGCGCCTGAGGCTCGGACAAAGTCTGGAGATAGTAGGTGGTGATTTGAAATTTGCCCACCACCGTGGGTACTAAGAGAAGAAAAATTTAGTAGCCATGATCTCATAGGTGGTCGAGGGCGGATACAAACGTATTAGCTTCCGATGTATCCTGCACGGGCCGAGCATCACGGGACTGCACATGTGTGTGTGTATGTACATAGATGAAATCCGATGCAAAGAATGCCAGGCAAAAAGCGGATGATCGATGCGGATGGTGAGAAGGACCCAAGCCAACCCAAGTGGCTGGACCGCCCTTCTGACCTGTATGTTGTCGCAGCCACGCCATGGCATGATGCACCAAGTGCTGGCGCAGCAACGGATAACGCAGCGTCTCGCCATTTGAGCGTCTGGCAGGGCAAAGACTCGACCGCGGGATTGGATTGGGTGGTGCGCAGCGTGAAGAGAGGGCCCTTAGTCTTACGCAGTCGTTAGCGGTGGCTGATGGCTGATGAGCGATGGGACGGTGGGAGGCGGCGGGTGGGGAGCAGGTCTGGTCTGTGCATACCCAGGCCCACCTTGGGCAAGACAACTGCATCGGCCATGTGGACGTCACAACTGGCAAAAGACGCGATGCAATGCGATCGGAATATTCTCGACGCTGACAAACTCTTGTAGCCATGACCTGCTCCAATTCGCAGTTCCGCAACTTCCGGCCCAAGCAGTATACATGCAAGGCGCACCCCCTCGAGTAGTGCTAGCCAGTTGGCCGCACACCAGTACTTGATACCTTTTCTGTCTGCTGTTTCCCTTGGGTTCGCCTTGGATCCTCTTGCTTCTTTGGCTGCGCATACCTTCCGGCTACAGTCTCGCTGTTCAACCGAGTCGCATAGTTTCCTCTATTCCCTTTCACTCGCGCTTTCACACCGCATTCTTCTCAAGACTACACCATTCCTACTAAACACACTCATCATGAGGGGCCGTGGGGGTCTCGCGTTAGCTACTGCGGCATTGCTACTAGAGCTTGTGCCGCTGGCAGTCGCCCATGGTGGCGACAAAGCCATGGATATGAATGCGCATGATATGCCCAAAGCGCAACCTCAACAAGCCGGTTTCGGAGGCTACTGGAGTCTTTCTGAATATGCTTCGCTCATGTATTGGCACATTGGGCTTGAAGTTTTGGCCTGGGTCGTTGTCCTACCATTAGCCGTCATGTTCAGTATCGCGCGTTCGCGCTTTACTCTGCTGTCGCAATTAGTCTTCCTTGCTACCAATGCACTCGCGCTTGTGCTTGGCCTCATCTACAACCATAAGACACCAGAAATGTATGCAGGAAACGCGCACAGCAAGGCTGGATGGGCCATTACGTGGATTGCTTCGGTATGGGTGTTTTTGGCTCTGGTCCAGGTCTATGCTGGCATGCACGACAACAAGTCGATCGAAGATCAACTCAAACACTCCATGACGGCTGCAAATATGCTCAGATACCAGCGCGTACAGGACGAGGAGCTCTCGGATTCATCAAGATGGTCGGGCGATTCTGGCCAAGGCACCGAGCGAAACTCGGCTTCGTTATACGACCCATCCCCATCACCCAGCGTCGAGTCCGAAGTCCAGCAGTTTATCGGCCAAGCCCACAACGATGCGCATGACGACGAAGCTGGTGAAGATGACAATGAAAAACACGGTCTCCTACACGACACGCCCATAGACCGCTTCTTGGCTCGCAACGTGGCCCGATTTGCTGCAGGCCGTACACTGAAGGCGATGCGATTTTTCTATGTCGTGGTTGAGCGTACCATGTTGATCCAAGGTTTCGTGGCCATTGTCAGTGGTGCTGTCGTTTATGGAGGCATTGGACGGGGAGGCGCCGTTTTCAACGTTCTGGCGCACACGGTCAAGGGAGGAATCTTCTTCGTGTACGGTTTCCTCACGCTCGGCCGGTGGATGGGCGCATTCGCAGACTTTGGATGGGCATGGAACGTCAAGCCGCCCAAGGAGGTTGTTGGTCGTTGGCGAGCGGCGCTCCCGTCGGCCGAGTTTACCGAGTCGTTTGTCATCTTTCTCTACGGCTGTACCAATGTTTTCCTCGAGCATCTGGCTGCGTGGGGCGACGCATGGACTGCGCAGGACTTGGAGCACGTCTCCATCTCGGTCATGTTCTTCGGCGGTGGTTTGGTAAGTGGCTTGCGGCGGCTCCTTCACTCTAGCGCGGCATTAGCTAATCTCCTTCCTAGTTGGGAATGTGCATCGAGTCGAGCAAGATGCGCGATCTCCTCAACAGCGGTGTTGTGGCCTCGCAGGCTGCCTCTGTACAGTACGAGGCATGGCAGCAGCCACGCCAGTACCGCTTCTCCATGAACCCTCTGCCGGCATTGATCATCATGCTGCTCGGCAAGATGATGAGCTCTCACCACCAGGACTCGATGGTTTCGACCATGATACACAGCCAATGGGGGTCCATGTTCATGGGCTTCGCGCTTGCACGTGCTCTCACCTACATCACTCTGTACGTTTCGCCGCCGACATCCTTCCTTCCATCCCGGCCACCAACCGAGATTGTGACTGCATTCTGTCTCATCTCAGGCGGCATCACTTTTATGGTCAGCAACAAGGATACTGTTGCAGCTCTCGAATCATACAACCTGGATGCCATGTTCATCTTCACAGTCGTCATGGGACTCACCGCGCTTCTCATGGCTTGGACCACAGTTGTCATAGCCATCAAGGGCTGGGCCTTGCGCAAGGAGAGTAGCAGTCAATGGCCCAAGGGCCACACTGGTGCCTTGGCTTGATTGCTTGCCAGTCAGTATCAGCCTCGAGCACGCTGGCTTGCTCTGATGGACATGCATCTTGGAAGCTGGACTTTTCCTTTGATACCCCACTTGTCGCCTTGTTTACGACCCGCATGTTTCTTTTGTGTGTGTGTGTTTTTTTTTTTTGGCTTTATGACATTACTGCAGTAAACCCCCTTGGACCGAGGATGGCGACAGCCTGGACAGCTGCAATGGTACCCTTGTTTGTTGCAATGATGGCAGTGATAATGGAAGGGCCGTGGAGGGACGGGTTCCTTTGGCAACGGGCGCCTCATCAATCATGATCAATATTGGACAACGGACACATGTTCTTGGTACTGATGACGGCGAGTGCTCTCGGAGGCACATGGGGTAGAGCAATTACGAATAATTAAACTTGGTTCACCTCATTGAATTCCATGGACAGTGTAGTACTCATATGGGTATCAAATGTAAAGCCGTCAAATCCCAAGAACCTCGCACGTTCTTTACCGTACTCCCCGTCCCCGCCCGGCAACGCCTCTTGCAATGCCTGTACCGCCTCTTGTGCCCCTTGTGGTGCCGCCGCGGGTAGGGATCCCGCCGCGCCCGCCAGCACGTGGTATGCCTCCCCTGCCTCTTGGTAGGCCCGATGTTTTGGCTGCCGGGGCAGGCGTCTGAGGCTTGGACGGAGTCTTGCTGCTTGGGGGGTTGTCGACAAAGGATGTGTCGGTGGTCAAAAAGGTCGCCTCCATGTCGTCTGGCCCCAGCGAGCGGCTCAGGTTGGCAGCCCCGCCATCGGGCTGGTTCTGTGGCCGCTTGAAGGACTCGTGGATTGGGGCCTGCAGATGGTGGTTAGTAGGCGTGGTAGCATGGTTCCGCTTTGAGACGCCGTCTCACGCACCTCTGGGAAGTCGACGCAGAAGGCGTTCATGTTCATGCCGTAGAGAAAGGCGGCAAAGCTCTCGGAGAAGCGGGCCAGGCTCTCGTGCATCAACTGCAGGTGGACGAAGTTTTGCTCGAGGTCAGCCATGGCGTCGCTCAGCTCGGCAAAGCCATCCTGCAGGCCTTGGAGCGCGTTGTCGGAAGCAGAGGCGGCACGGCCGCGCTGGTAAGAGTCGCGCAGGGAGGAGCGCGAAGAAGGGCGAAGGGGCGTCGTGGGGCGGGAGCGCGGGGATTTGCTGCGGGTGCGCCGGTAGGAGGGGGTTGTTGTGGGTGTTGTGGACGCCATGGCCGGGCGGGTGGTGGTGTTGGTGCTGGGTGTGGTTGTTCCTGTGGTGGCTGCTGGCTGGCCGAGGGGCAGGGCCCTGGACGGCGACTGAATGGCCCACGAACGCGAGGGGCTGCTTCGGCCCAGCTCTCGAGGCCCAACGGCGCGCGCATGGGATGCAGCTTGGCTGGATTCACAGGTATCCTATATGTATTCACATGTATCCTGTACACGCCCCCCCTGCACACCATGTGCCGTGTAGGTACTTGGACAATCACCAGGGCCGCTCGCCCGCCCGTCCGCCCGCTCCCCACGCGCTAGGACACATGCATCGATCATGGCATTGCCCGAGTCCTACGACCATCCCGTCCTGTGTATGCAACTACGCACATGCGTGCTTCGCTACATATGCCCCTCGCACACGCAGAGGCCAGCCGTTTAGCCAGAGACGCTCTCTTCAGGCGGCCCGCCGTCTCGCCCGTCTGCCGCCCGCCCTGCTTGTGCGTGTGTGCTCCGCCATAAGGCGTCAAGTGAAGGCACTGCTGCGCCGCCCGACCCGGCAAAACCGCCCGACGTCACCCTAGTGGGCACAAGTCCCGCCCACCTTGAGCCTCAGCAAAGTGACATTCATGTTGCGTCGCGCACAGCCCCAGCGACGACTGCTGCAGACCTCGTTCATAAAGCTTCGACCCTCTGCCAATCCTCTCCCCCACCTCCACGCCCCCTTCTTCGCCTCCTATAGCCCCGCCCGCCCAGTCACGCGGGCATATATAACACATCTCCGCCGGCACTACACGGCACATACACGACGCCAGAACAGCGGGTTCGACCTCTGGGCCGCAGCAGTAGTCGCAAGTCTCGCCGTTGGCGGCGCTCTTCTTGTGCCTTTTATACCAAGCTCCTCAGGGGCAGAGACCGCAAAAGCCCCTCGCTCGACCCAGGCCGCTGCCTACGACTTTGCAGACTCGTATCTGGTCATGGCGCCAAACACGCCAGCCGGCCGGCCGGGCACCCTCACTCCCGACCAGGAAAAGAAGCTGCGCGAGCTTTGGGGCATCGTGCTAAAGATTTTTGGCGTCGAGGTGGGGTCGGACGAAACAAACGGGACAGCCGCACCGGCCGACGAGGAAGTGCTGTCGCCTACAGCAGACGGGAAAAAGGACAAGAAGAAGAGCCGTTTGCATGTCTTCAAGAGAAGCAAGGGCGACAAAAGTGCAGACGACAAATCGTCGACGGCCTCGGAAGCGTCGACTCCTACTGCAGACCTCAGCAAATTATCCATATCTGCCGAAGACGACAAGTTTGGCCAGACTGCAGAGTTCAAGGCCGCAATAGCAAACATTCCCCCAGAGGAGCTTCGGACAACGTTTTGGAGCATGGTCAAGCATGACCATCCCGATGCGCTCCTCCTTCGCTTCTTGCGCGCCAGGAAATGGGACGTCGAAAAGGCGCTGGTCATGATGATCTCAACAATGCAGTGGAGGCTGAATGAAATGCATGTCGACGACGACATCATGAAGAACGGCGAGCTCGCCGCTCTCGAGACCACGGCGGCCGACGCAAAGGAGAAGAAGAATGCAGACGACTTCCTGGCGCAACTGCGCATGGGCAAGAGCTATCTGCACGGGCTCGACAGTGAGGGAAGGCCAATGTGCTTTGTTCGCGCAAGATTACACAAGGCTGGTGAGCAGACTGAAGAAAGTCTGGAAAGATTCACCGTCTACTTGATCGAGACGGCGCGCATGCTGCTGAGGCCGCCGATTGATACAGCTGTATGTTGAGGCGATGATGAGACAGCAGAGTGTTTCGACTGACGCCTACAGACTATCGTTTTCGACATGACCGACTTTTCCATGGCCAACATGGACTACACACCTGTCAAATTTATGATCAAATGTTTTGAAGCAAACTACCCCGAATCTCTTGGGACCGTCTTGGTCTATCGCGCACCCTGGGTGTTCAACGCCGTCTGGGCTGTGCTCAAGGGATGGTTAGATCCTGTTGTTGCCGGCAAAGTACACTTTGTAAAGAATGTACAAGACTTCAGTACCTTTGTGCCCAAGTCGCAGATTCCGACCGAGTTGGGTGGAGACGAAAAGTGGGAGTACAAATATCCGGAGCCCGTACCTGGTGAGAACGACAAGATGAAGGAGGAAGGACCGAAGCAAGAACTACAAAAGGAGAGGCAGGAGATTGTAGACAAGTACGAGGCTACAATAGTTGAGTGGGTTCGTGTTGGTGACGGCGCGTCGCTGGAAGAGAAGAGGAAAGAAAGAGACGTGTTGGCGGAGCAGCTGAGGCAGAACTACTGGAAGTTGGATCCGTATGTTCGAGCACGTTCGCTGTACGACCGCCTGAAAGTGATACAAGACGGAGGCAAACTCGATTTCTACAGTAAGACGGCCGAGCCTGCTGCGAGCACACCCACCAAAGCTGGCGAGACGAGCGCCGACGACGTTGACTAGGACTTTGAAGGTTTGGGTGCTTGGCTGACCATGGTACTTTGAACTCTCAACACCCAGGCCAACGGTTCGAGGCAGTAGAATAAACAAAGCGTTATTTTTTTCTGCACGCGCACGCAGCCTCTAGAGATTCTCCTTGGTGGTACTCGAGCTAATGAGGTGGCTCTTGTCTCAAGTCCTTTGTTTTGTTGGTACTTTCTTCTTTTCTTTTCTTGCTTTTTACCTTTCTCGTTCTATCAAGCATTGCAACAAAGACAAGGACTGAAAAGAAACGGAAATTAGACAGGCATGGGAGGAGGAAAAAAAACGGACAGAGACAGATGCATAACCAGGGGTATGCAGTGTACACATGGATTTACATGTACAGCACTCTAGTTGTCATAATAATATTCCCCCTCTTTCTTTTTTCGTTCTTCATCTTCTTCTTCCTTTCCCAAGTCTGGCTGTTGTGTTGGCGTTTTAACCTTTGCTGCCGTGACTCGAGATAGTTTGATACCTCGCGCGTCTCCCACCCCCCCTTTTTTTTTCGTTCTCGCAAACCAACCTTGTTTTGAGATTGAGGGGTCACGTGGTCAATTTCCACTAACGACAACAACACCAACACCTTGGCCAGAGGCAGATAGACACGCAAACAAGAACAACAAGACGGGCACACGAGCAGCATAAACAGCGGTGTGTTTGAAACTTGGCTCCATTTGCCCGCCCATATTGACCGGACAAGCGCGGGTGTGTGTGTGTCCGCGGTTTTATTATGTGCACGCATGTCGAGCACCCAAATAAAAAAAAAGAGCGTGGCTAGACCAAAGCGTACTTAAGTATTGTGTTATGAACAAGGCCAGCTGAGATCGAAACCCACAGTCTCGATCGGACATTTTAACTCCTCACATGTGGCACCCTGGAGGCTTTTTCCCGATCTGCACGCACCGGGCGGCTAGTCAGTGGAGTTACGTCATACTCCTGTCCGTCGTTGCTTCTGCCTTCCTTCTTGCTCGCTTTCTTCTGTTTGCTTCATACCCTCTTTGAACACTAATATCACCGCCCTCGGCGCGCCAGCCGCCCAGCCCCCTTATTTTACTTTTACCTTGTTCTTTCCCCCTTCCCCCATCTGCACACCTCATGTCTTGTTTTGCCCGTCGGGGGTTTTATGATTCGTTTATCGCTCGCCAGCAGGGGGGCATGTGGGCACATGGAAATAAATGCATGGGTGTGAGTTTACTTAATGGGGCCCGGACACGCTAGAGCAAACTCCGTGATTCGAGCGGGTCGACGCTACACCGGAAACAAACGTCTCTCGACGCCGACTCGTCTTAAGTGTTCAATATCCTTTTTCAGCATTTTGCTTTAGGCTCTCCTATCTCGCAAGCTAATGATACAGTTTGTTCTACTGGAAGAGGAATGTGTCATGGTTGCAAACAAGAGTGGACAGGGGGGGGGGGCCGCAAGGCATGTCAACGCTGGTAGTGCCATGGCGATAGTGTTGCGCAGTTCCGTTTGAAGGATTTGTTTTCCAAGGCAGAGAGCAGGGCTGCTGCAGCGTTGTCTCAATTGAGGTAGCAGGTACACATTATCTTGTGTACACGTTTCTTCTCATGTCCCAAACCACAATTTTGCATTGGTCTCTTTGCCCATGGCAACGGTTTCCCTTCTACGAAACGACTTTGATATCTCGGCCACCCCTTGTTCGGTGGCTTTCATGGCTGCTGACCTCGTCCATTTGCACAGCCATTTCATTTGCGTTGTCGAGTCCGCTCTCGACTGCCTCGGCGACATGATCTCTGGGAGCGGCTTCGCCCATTCGCGACGTCGAGGCACCTGACTTGTCGCCGTCAGCATCTGCTCCGGCTAGCGTGAGTCCCTGTGCGGGACGGTAGGTAATTTTGCCCTCGGCAGCGGCGGCGAGACGTTGCTTTTGGCCAGCCTCTCCGGCCCGACCTAGCACACCGGCGATAACTTGGATGCAGCGCAGACTAAGGCAGTGTCAACAGCAGCAACAATGGTTCGTCACAGCACTCTTACCTGTCGTCGTTGGCCGGGATTGGGTAGGTGACCCAAGTGGGGTCGGCATTGGTGTCAATGACGCCAATGGTTGGGATGTTGTTCAGGGCGCACTCGTGGAGCAGCACGTAGTTTTCCAATGGGTTCAAGCACACGACAAGATCTGGGCGAAGGGCGGGGCGGTCGTAGAGTTGCTCGTCAAAGCCCTTGACCTCCTCATCCAGCTCGTTGACGACCTTTGTCTTGCACCTGCCGAGGATTTGCTGGCCGTTTGTGATGCTGCCGGGGATCCAGCGCTCGAACAGGTGATAGCCCTTGGCCAGCTCGGCGGCCCTGGCAACGGCCCTGTCCTGGCCATCACGGGTTCCTACAAACAGTATCATGCCTCCCCGGCGGGCGACTTCCTGGACAACCTTTGCGGACCGACGCAGATGAGCGGCGGTGACTTCGAGCGAGATGATGTGGACGCCCTGCCTGATGCCGTGGATGTAGCGGGCATTTGCGGGGTTCCAGAGCGACGTGACATGGCCTTGATGGGCTTCGGAGGCGAGCAGCAGCTCGAGGGTGACGTCGGCAGGCGAGGGCGGGTGGTTAAGCAGCGTGTGCGGGCGGTAGTGGGGGGCAATGTCGGACCCCAGCTTTCCCAGCATCTTGGCTGGAGCATGTTGTGTTAGTAGGGCTGCGATGGGGGCGTGGTGGAGGGGGGGTATGGCGTACCCTGCTGCTTGTACAGGTGGTACTGGGCGGCCACATGGTCGCGGGGCGGCGAGTCGGGGTCAATTGAGGGCAGGGGCTGGTGAAGGTGCGTGTTGAGCTGGGCCTCGAGCGACTGGACCTGCTTGAAGCTGTTGTCGGTCGAAGCCTCGAGGGCGGCAATGTCGGTGGAGAGGAAGCGGCGCAGCGGGCGGGAGTGGGGACGGGCGAGTGCCCGGGAGCCTGGCAGTGGATGGACAGTCAGCGGTGGGCAGCAGGCAGCGAGAAGAGGGGCGACAGGCGTGTATGCATACCAGTGCGGGCGGCAATGCTCCTCACAATCATGCTGTGTGCGCTTGTCGTGCAGTCGCAGGCGTGCCAAAATCTCGCAGCCGGGGGGCGCACGCCAAGCCCCGTGACCCGCTAGGCCGTGTGGGGCAAGGCGGCAGCCTCAGCCTCAGCCTCAGCCTCAGCCTCAGCACCAGCCTCTCCACGCTGGCGGCATGGGCGACGGGCATGCGAGGCCGCCCAATTGGCCTTTGTGGGCCGCGGCGGAGGAGCTGCGAGGGCACCACCATGTGCATGGCTGCGAGCACACGGCGAGGGGGCGCTGGTTGAGCGTGCATCGGTCCCACGCGGAAGAACAAGCAGGCCAGGCCAGGCCATGACAGCAGCAGGCATGGCATTCGCAGAATCCCATGGCGGCCGCTGCGTGGTCCCTGCTGCTGGCTGCTGCTGGCTGCTGCTGGCTGCTGACCGTCTCGGGCTGCTGGCTGGGGGCTGCTGGCGGGCTGCTGGCGGGCTGCTGGCGGGCTGCTGGCGGGCTGCTGGCGGGCTGCTGGCTGGCTGCACTAATGGCGGCATTGCTTTTGGCCCGTCTGGTGCGGCAGCAGGCCGTGTGTGGGTGGTGCAGTGTCGCCGCCAGTCGTCTGTGGATGTATGCGTGCGTGCGAGTGGGCATGCGACTGACTGCGACGGCCGCACCGCCCGTGCTGAGGTCCCCGAGCACTGCGCGCCAAAGCCACTGACATGTTTCCGTGCTCCTGCACTTGTGCAGCTATCCCGCACCCGGTCCTTCTTGGCCGCTAGCGCATTCGACTCAGCCTGCACATCTCGGCCTGCACATCCAACCTCCACCCCCCTCCCACCCCCAGACCTGCCCGACCACATCCCGCCGCCTCTCCAAATGGCCTGCGCCTAGCTGGCCCTCCGCCCCTCGCCCTCGCCCTCGCCCTCGCATGCCACTTGCCTCGCCCTGCTCGCTGCTCTCGCTGCTGCCTGCCACCCCGCCGCCACGCCTGCTTCTGCTGCTGCTGCTGCTGCTTTCACCCTCGTCGCCTTCGCTGCCGCCGCCGCCACAACCACCGCCACAACGCACCGCCGGCCCACCCAAGCGATAGCGCACAACACCGCCCACGGGCGCCTGCCGCCCTCTTGGATGCCCACAACCCGGTGCTCGACGTCCTCTCCCGCCGCCCCAGTCTCACGCCCACCCCACTGCCCGCCATGAACGGCTACCCATACCCTCCGCGGCCCTATCGCCAGCCCAACAGCGGGTCCATGATGATGGGGCTCGAGGCCGATGCCATCAACGGCTTCGACATGTCCGACGGCCAGTCGCTCGACTCAATGGTCGCCCAGAACGACAAGGAAAGCCGCAGGCGGAGCATGCCGCCCTTTGCGCGAGGCCCGCAGCAGATGAACCTAGGAAGCCCCGACACGCGCCGCCTGAGCATGATGAACTTTGGCGACCCCAATGGCGGAGACATGGAGGATTTTCGTTTCGACATGTCCTCGGCCACCATGGACAACCTCATGCACGCCAACACGGCCTCGTTCCCACGCTCCACAGCCGCCATGCAGACCGACCAGCTTCCCGCCAACGACCTCAGCATCGGCAACCAGTACCAAGGCCAGGCATCGCCCTTTCCCCAAATGACCGCCCCGGGCTCGGCCTATGCCTCGCCCATGCACCAGAAAACCTCTCTCGACCTGGAAATGTCGTCGTATCAAAATGGCATCAACATGTCGCTCGACATGAACGACTCGCTCAACATGATGCCCCCAGACATGAACATGTTTCCTGGCAACCAATTCAACTCTCCTCTGCTCGGCTCCCCCCTGAACCAAGACTTTGTCGGTTCCATTCCCACTGCTCCACAGGACAACGCCACTCCCAACAACAATAGCAATGCCAACACCAACACCAATAACAACAGCAGCAGCAACAACACGCCCTCCACACAAGCCCAAGACCATTTCAAACGCCCTTCAGTGAACAACACACCCGACCCAAAGTCGGGCAGAGCTAGCTACCTCAGTCGAGCCCTCAGTCAAGACCAGACCACCATGCGTTCCCATTCCCGACCTCAGAGCGACCGCCACTCGTCCAGCAGCGTCCCCACACGCATGACACTGGCCTCCCTGCGCAATCAACAGCCTGTAGCACAAGACCCTGCACAGGATTTGCCCAAAGACGTCATCAACAAGCAGTTGCGCGAATCCAACGTTCCCTGGCCGACACCCGCTGGCGGATTTCCCTCAACCATGCACCAGAATCCTCACATGAAGACACAGTTCAAGAACGCGTATTCGTCAACCGGATTTGACATGCTTGCCGTCTTGGTGCGTTCTCCACTCGGCCAGTGTACATGGCTCGTCAAAGCTAATCACCGCCTAGATGCGAGTCGCGACCAGACCTGACCCCCAGATCGATATCGGCTCCGTTGATCTTTCCTGCGCTTTTGTCGTGTGCGATGCAGAGCTGGACGATATCCCCATCGTATATTGCTCGGAAAACTTTGAAAGACTTACCGGCTACACACGACACATGATTCTTGGGCGAAATTGTCGCTTTCTGCAAGCCCCTGATGGCAAGGTCGAATCTGGCATCAAGCGCAACTATGTTGACGACGACTCGGTCTACTATTTGAAGAACATGATTGAGAATCGTGCAGAGGCACAAATCAGTCTGATCAACTATCGAAGAGGTGGACAGCCCTTTATGAACCTTTTAACCATGATTCCCATCGCTTGGGAGCCTGGTGGCAAGACCAAATTCTTCATCGGTTTCCAGGTCGATCTTGTAGAACAGCCAGGTGCAATGACGAACAAGAACTCTGGTAGGCTCTGCATTTTGATTTTGTACCCCCACATTTGTGCTAACAGTGGTACAGACGGTTCCTACAGAGTCAATTACCAGCGCGGAATGTCCATACCAAGTTACGTTTTTAGCGACCACCTCAAACCACAGCAACCCGAACAAGGGCAAACAATATCAAAAGATGAAGTGTCCAACGTGCTTGCCGCGTACAGTGGAGGCGGGGATTCGGAAATGACGAGACGCATCTGGGACAAGGTTCTCCTCGAAAACTGTGACGACGTGGTACACGTACTATCACTCAAGGGCCTCTTCTTGTACTTGTCGCCTGCCAGTAACCGAATATTAGAATACGACCCAAGCGAGCTTGTTGGAACAGCGTTATCTTCCGTTTGCCACCCGAGCGACATTGTGCCAGTAACCCGAGAGTTGAAGGAAACGACAAGCGGCGCCTCTGTAAATGTCGTTTTCAGAATACGGCGGAAGAAGAGTGGTTACATGTGGTTCGAAGGCCATGGTTCATTACATACCGAGCAGGGCAAGGGCCGGAAGTGCATCATCCTCGTCGGACGTGAGCGCCCAGTCTACACGCTGAGCAAGACCATTGTGCGCGAGTCTGGTGGTGTCGGCGACAATGAGCTGTGGACCAAGATGTCGACGTCGGGTATGTTCCTATACGTTTCATCAAATGTACGACAGCTCCTAGACAAGCAACCAGAAGATCTGGTTGGCACTAGCATTCAGTCTCTGATGCGCCAGGAGTCCAAGGTCAATTTTGGGCGGATACTCGAGTTTGCAAGAGGCGGCAGAAAGGGTGAAGTGAAGCACGAGATGATCAACAAGCGTGGCCAAGTACTTCAGGCTTTCACCACAATCTATCCCGGAGATGCTGTCGAAGGCCAAAAGCCCACCTTTGTTGTCGGACAAACGCGACTGCTCAAGTACTCACGCAACAGCGCCGCTGGCCGTCCTTCCATGTATACAAACACCAAACAGGAGCGAGATTCACACATGTTAGGGGGTGCCTCACCTATGCCGGCATCTTTGACTGGAAATAACGGAAACTCTGGCAACACTGGAAACAATACCCCATCTACAACCGCTACAAATCCTCTCTATGTGACGACCGAAGAGTCACCGGCCACATTCGCGGGTCACAACGGCCTGCAGATTGGACACCAAGATCAAAGTCTTGCTTCGGACGACAACGTTTTTGACGAACTTAAGACGACAAGAAGTACTAGCTGGCAGTATGAGCTACGTCAAATGGAGAAGCGGAATCGATATCTTGCAGAAGAGGTACAGACGCTGCTGGCAGCCAAGAAGAAACGAAAGAGGAGAAAGGGTGCTGGGCAGATGCAAAAGGATTGTGCGAATTGCCATACGAGACAAACTCCTGAGTGGCGGAGAGGACCTTCTGGGAATCGCGACCTGTGCAATTCGTGTGGATTGCGGTGGGCAAAGCAGGTAAGCCATGCGTCCGGTACTACCGCTGTATAGATGAATGAACCCGTACTAATGTCGGTGTTCTCATAGCAAGGACGAGTATCGCCGAGAACATCCTCGGCCACCAGCGACAAGAGCAAGAAGAGCGCTTCACCACGTCACCACCAAACAAAGTCCGAGGCCGGACAGCAATCATTTAGTCCCTCCACATCAATGGCCACACCCAGTAAACGATCGCCGCAACATGGCAGTATTAGCGAATCTCATGCCCCCAAAGCAGCACGTACGGAAACAGCTTCTGCGCAGGGCTTCATTCCACCACCGGCGATCGACGAGGTTACCGAGCCGGATTCATGAAGACGGACAATTTTTTCTCATTCTTGCGCCTCCTCTTGTGTTTCGTGTCATTTTCGTCTTTGGTCAAACGATACCCCAGTACACAGTTCTATTTTTTTTTAACGGCCTTTGCAATTCCGTGGCAATTGCATACGTGACACTCGAGACGCTGTAGATTCTCTCATGGTCTTTTTCCCCCCCACCTCTTGTTGTTCGTTGTCTTTTGCGTCATTTTTTTTTGTTTTATGATTGGCGGTTTGAATATCGGGACATATTTCACATGATCTACTCATATATTTGAATGTCTGTGCTTGCTCTGGTCAATGACTGGATATTGCGGCACAAAATTAGTCTTGTTGTAGATATTGGATGGTTTTCTACGACGCCGGAGAGGGATGGGTGTTGAACGACACCGGCTGTTAGCTTTTTATTTTCCTCGTCTCTCTGCTTCTCTTTCGCCCAGGAGGTATCGTGTACTTGTTAGAGGCGATGACAGAGCAAACGACGAATGGGTTTGGCTATCAAGGCGGAAGCAATCACATGGCCGCGTACACACATGATATCGGTCAATTTATAAATCAATCTATCACAGTCATGTAATCTAGGCTCCTGTGTGCATCTGTTAGGGCTGCAAGGGCAGGACATGATGTAAAGATGATGGTGATTCAGGGACCATCCTACCCACTAACCTTGACCCCTTTGTACCCCCTGGCCCATTTTTTCCCACCTGCATAAACACATGTGCATATCCCGTTTACCACTAGCACGGTAAACGAGGAACGATCCAGCCTACCCCGCATTCCCTGAGCACGTGTAGATAAGAGGTATTTGTACATGTTTTTCTTACGACTGACTAATAGCAGGTAAGCTATACCACAATTTCTTGGAAGACTATTTCTTTGCTTCACGTAAAGCTACATCGAAAATAAGAACCTTGGCGAAAAAAAACTTCCTCTGTACCCAAAGGTTTAAACTCTGAGGATGGTTTGGGTTGCAATTGGAAAGAGATGAAGAAGAGGTTGAATTGCAACACTTGTGCAGTACGCTGCAACGTGGCAGTGCAAAAGTCGGGCACGTACGATTTATCATCATTACAATCTTACAACTGGTGGGGGCTTTTTTCATAACTTTTTGTTTTGTGAATAGATTATCATACGATTGTGTGAGTTTGATTGTAGTGATTGCGTTGCGTTGCTGGTCTCCCCGAGCGAGATCACCAAAACCACGCCACAATGTCAGACGCAACAAGCAAGGAAGCTGATACGGGCTCGCAGGGTCTATCGAACCCGGTGAAGTCTAGGTCTACTCTTTCCCTGATTTTCAGCCCACACGTGTCGTTCGCTCAAAAGTGAAGCGGACGGGTAAGCAGCCTGGAAAGGCTTGCTCGCATGGTCATACTGGGCTTAGCTAAATGGAGCAAAAAGAAGCAAGTGCAAACGTAACAAGCATCCACGCATACCGTGGGAACAAGCAAACAAGCATGTACCAGGTATGCCATATAGAATACAACATAGTTTGGGAAAAAATTCGACAAGACTTGGCGGCGACTTTTGGTTGGTGACGCCCGTTTGGCATATATGTCTTACGTTGGCCTAAGAAATGCTGCTGGTTACCTTGACATTTTCCCAGGGGAGAGAGAAGGGACACTAAGGAGAAACTTGACGTAATCGTGACGGGAACTACGTGGCTTTCCTTTTTTTGGTCGCGGCGATGTGGACGCGGGATCCGGCCCATGGCGTTACTCTTTGGGAATTTCCGGGACATACGGATACCAGGGTGCGGTAGAAAGAGATGAAAAGAACACGATGGTGTAAGGAAGTTGGCTGGTTGGCTGGCTGGCTGGCTGGCTGGCTGGCTGGCTGGCTGAATGGTCAGCTCTGGGAATCAAGGTGTGATTCTCATGCAATTGGAAAGCGCGAGAAGATGAAAGGTGGAATACTGGATTGGCTCTCGTGTACGAGCAAATACTTTAATCTTCTTCATTTACATGCGTAGCGCACTTTGCAACATCCTGGCCTGGTAACACACATGCAATGCAGGTAGCGTAAGTGGGGATATGTCTCTCCAACACCCAGCGATCATGACCCATTGTGTATGTACGTGGTCCACCAAATTGGTGCAAAGATGTGCAGAATGGACTTTCAGCTTGCCATGAGTAGAGGACATGGGGGAATGAAGGGACTTGGACAAGGCAACGCCACTTAACAGCAACGTGCACTAGTTGTTTTCCCCGTCCCCCGGCGGCTCGTCAAGCCACCCAATCAAACTAGCCAGGATCCTACTCCGGCATGTCACCTCCCCTGGATTCCTCCAGGCCCGCTGCATGTCCCCATGCGGCCCTAGCAATTTGCTTTTGGGGTGATTAGGGAGGGAGGGGGGATGGTGCTGTGAGGCTAGGGTGCGCGTGAGAAAGCGTGCGTATGTGTAGGTGTGTGAGAAAGAGACACCCAAAGGGACTAAGACCGAGAAATGAGAAATAGGGCGTAGTACTAATCAACAAATGATCTCTTTTCCGCTTGAAGTGGTCAAGGGAAGTAAATGCATTGCCTCACTTGATGCCAACTTTACATGTTGGTTCTTGGTTCTTGGAACCACCCAAGACGCGACCAGGGTCTTGCGACGGATTTCGGCCAAGTCTCGTGTTTTTCTTCTCTTTCTGACATGGGCATGAAAGAGAGAGATACGACGGGTGTGTGTGTGCGCGGTTGAAAAGAGGGGATCTTCGTACCCAGCTCATTTCGTTGCGGTTAATGCCCGACCGGAATGATGCTTATGGACTAGGTATTATTAGACGCTCTCTTTTCGCTCTCTTGCTTTCCCTCTTTTCATTCCAACTTTTTTTCTCGACTTGTAAAGGACACAAAGTTTGCGCACTGTCCGCCACCTTGGACTCCTTCCTATCCGTGTCTCACTCTTGCTCTTACTCTTGCTCTACCCTTTATCATACTGTACTAGCTCCATACTGCTGGTGCGACGGTGACCTGCCACTTTTTCTTTCTTATTTTTGGGGCTTCCCTGCACACCCTGTTGTTTGCACACGCTTGGTTTGCGTACTGTTGCGATAGCCCGACTTGACCTTCGAAGAAACACTTATTTTCTTTTCTATTCTTCTTCTGTGTTTCCTGGCCTGCACGTGCCCATCCCTCGAATCATCTGCGATATACCTTGACTCGATTATTGGACGGCAGTCTTTTGGGGTTGCTTTTTGGTTTGCGCCGTGACAGGGAGGAAGAAGCAAGGGCGTCTTTTGGGGCGACGCGCAAGCAAGCCAGAACTCGGGGCTGACAGAGGCGAAACGCGATTGCGACAACCATCACACATTCTGCAACCCACCAAAGAAAAGCGCAGAGTACTGGCATCGAAACTGCGCAAGAAGTGGACACCATGGACGAGAATAACAGGATAACAATCACCGTGTGCGGCGACGGAGGATGCGGTATGCGCAACGACCAAGGAGATGTCAGGGGATGTAGGCTGATGTGCGCACAGGAAAGAGCTCAATCACATTACGGCTCGTAAGAAGTGAATGGACGTCCGAGTAAGTTTGCGCACACAATGCGACGCTACGCGCGCGCTCTCAATCGAGCAAGACAACATTCGGCTGACATGTAGTCTTTAGATATGACCCTACAATAGGTACAACACATACCACTCGCGTCTGTGACGGGCATTCGTCCAGCCACTTTAGAGCAACACTGGTCTGACATCCGCTACAGAAGACTCATACTCGGTGACACGGACCATAGATGGTGTCCCCTACTATCTGATGCTTACCGACACGGCTGGTCAAGAAGAATACCGTGGTCTCTGGGCGGCATCCAACTTGCAATCCGATGCCTTTCTCCTCGTCTACGACATCACCGCCGCAAACTCGCTCGATGCACTTGATTACTTCATGGAAATGATTGATATGGAGACGGACAACCGGTTAGACAATGGCAAGATACCACCTATCAAGTGTGTGGTGGGTAATAAGTGTGATTTGCAGGGTCAACGGGTGATTGAAGCAAAGAAGGGGTTGGAGTGGGCGCGAAATCGAAAATGCGGCTTCATGGAGACGAGTGCAAGAGAGATGGTCAACATTGAAGAGACATTCGCTCGTAAGCTTTTTCTTGCTTCATTTCTCCCAGAACGAGAGTGAGAGAGAGAGGGGGGGGGGGGGAGAGAGAGAGAATTGGCCAAAGACCAATCCGCTAACGTATACCCCTTCAATAGTCCTTGTCCGCCGTGTTGTAGAAGCTCGCAGACTTACTGCAAACGAAAACGCCGCAAACCGTACTGCCGCCCTACCCATGTCGAATGCAAATCTTTCCGGAACACATACCTACAGCGAAAAGCACGACTCTGACGAGCCAAGACAAAGCTTCTGGAGTAAACTGAAATGCTGGTAGCTGCTTTCTCCAATTTCAACTACCGCATATATTACGTGTTTGCGTTTTCCCTCGCGAAACCACCCCGCTTCAGAAGGGGTAAGTGATGGTGTAAGATTATGGACTTTTCGTCAGGGAAATACGGTACGCAAGTCCTCGTGCGTATTCTTCACCTGGTACTACATTCATGACGTTCGCTCTACGGCCAGTTGTCTGGATTTTCCTTTGTCTTTTTTTTTCCTCTTGTATTATAGCTGCGTTGGTGGTAGTCGCCCCTTGAAGGACCGTCATCTTTTTGTAGCATCGACAAGCTTTTTGTTGATTTGCGCGTCTCTGTTTTTTTCTGCATTTCGTCAAGTCTACTGCCATTGGTTTCTCTTATCGTTGGACCGGAGTCGCATTGACATACGCATTGCACGGATCTGTTGGTTAGCGGGATGAAAGGGGTCCACAGGATATACTGATACCAGTTGGCAATCTGATTCTTTTTTGTTCTGACCTAATGACTGTCCATGCTCACTTGTGAAGTGAGATCAGCATGGTAGCTTAATGTCATGCGAAAGATGACCGGCTCGAGGCATCAGATGCAGCTAACCATCGGCTATCGAAGGTTATTATTCGTGCGTCCGTGCACAAGCACGCAATTGGGGGTTTGGATCTTATCAAGACCTTTGAACACCATCACTGCTTTCAAAGTCATCTAACAAACTACACGATCACGGGAGGCGTTCTGGTCTCGTATCTGGGTGAGGAGCAAGAAATAGGCGCCTGTAGGCTGGTCACTTCACAGCTGCCCCTCCACAGGGCTCGTGCGCACGACAATAACAGTTGGGGACTGTAAGGCTGCAGGGCAGTGTCAAGAAAGAGCAGAAAGCAAAATGTCGAAACCTCATATTGAGCACGAGGACCCATCTCAGGACGGCTTGTCCCGCACACTCAAGGACCTTTTTGCTGGTGCTGTAGGTGGAGTTGCTCAAGTCCTCATTGGGCAACCATTCGATATTGTAAAAGTTCGTCTGCAGACGACATCCCAATACTCGGGCGCATTGGACGCAGCGACCAAAATTTATAGAAATGAAGGAGCACTTGCCTTCTACAAAGGAACATTAACGCCTCTGATCGGTATCGGGGCCTGTGTGTCCATCCAATTCGGGGGCTTCCACTATGCGCGCCGCGCTTTCGAGGCCAGCAACACAGCCAAGTCTGGCGCCGCCCAACTGTCTTACCTGCAGTACTACGCCGCCGGAGCTTTTGCAGGTATCGCCAACACGGCTCTCTCGAGTCCGATCGAGCACATTCGCATAAGACTGCAAACCCAGCCGCACGGCGCGAATCGGCTCTACACCGGACCCATCGACTGCGTACGCAAACTCTCGGCACATCAGGGTGTACTTGGCGGCGTCTACCGTGGTACTGCTGTGACCTTTATGCGTGAAGCTCAGGCGTATGGGTGTTGGTTTACTGCATTCGAGTATCTTATGAATTCTGACGCTGCACGCAACAACATTGACCGTTCGGAGATTTCAACACTAAAGGTGGCGGCCTACGGGGGACTCGCGGGTGAGGTACTTTGGATCAGCAGTTATCCATTCGATGTTATCAAGAGCAAGATGCAGAGTGATGGGTTTGGAGCGGAGCAAAAGTACAAGAGCATGAGGGACTGTTTTGTGAAGACGTACAAGGGCGAGGGCCTGGGCGGCTTCTGGAGGGGCATTGGACCAACTCTGCTCCGTGCTATGCCCGTTTCCGCAGGGACGTTTGCAACGGTCGAGGTGACGATGCGGTTGATTAGTTGAAGAACGAACACGCTGGTTTTCCGTCGGGAGAATCTGCGTACGGTAGCATATTCATCTACGATTGAAGTTTTGCACACACTGGCTGAAGCGCAAGAGAGCGAGTGAACATGTCATTCGATGCATTCGGACAGGAATGTTATTCATGCGTACCGTAGACAATCTTGACCTAGAATACCAATGTACTGTAAGTACAAGTACTAGGGTCTATTACCGTTATCAGACGGAAATGGCGATCAAATCTATAATTCAACAATCCGGCCTTAGGTTCCCCAGTAATGTCTCGCATCTCATTGCCTCGTTCGTACGCTTCAAGTTCCAGACAAGCGCAACATCACAATTGGCCTCGTCAAAAGATGTCGCCTACCCAATCTCTCTCCAAACACTATACGAATCAGAGAGAGGACACTCAATAGTCTCAAACAGTTCTCTCCACTTCCCGAATGCAATGTAATCTCACCCTCTTTGCTTTCGGGCGCCACTTACAAACGACCGCATTCGGGCACAGAAGTAAAGACTTCGGGTCCTAATTAATACCGCAGACTGTCCCAGAAAAATAAACTACCGCTGTGCCACTCGCATCGCGGCAGCTTGTATCTACAGCGCCACCAATGTAGCCCATTTTGAGCACAGAAGATGATCCCGCACGAGAGAGAACCTTGTACAAGTGACTGCACAAACACGACCGTTATTGTGTTACTGGTATACAATGGTATATTAGGCAAGCTCGATTCTTTGCTATTTAGTCCTTAGAAAGAGTTTTTCTAATCCCCTAATTATAAATTCTTCCTAAGTTAAGTTCTTATTAAACTAATTTTATTAGAAAGATATTAAGATCTAAATACACGCTAGTAGATATTAATGCTATTATTCTTACTCTTAAACTTATTCCTATTTTATAGCTCTTAGTTTACTCTTAGTAGATATTATAATCTAAGGCAAGCTACTTATAAGTAGTGTGGTAAATAGGTCTCCACCTTCGGGATCGTTTTTTTCAATTTTATCTCCCAATCGCTACCCTAGGAAGGTTAGTAGCTCATTTTGTAGCCCTTAATTAGAGCTATATTTTCGCCTCATATAGTAATAGGCTAACTCTAATAAGTAAGAAGATATTTAGCAACCCGTCGTGCTAAGAGTTAGGTCTCCACATTTTACTCCAATCTTTA